TTCGTGCTAGCAAGGTTTGTTGTTGCACTGTTGTTGCTATTGTTGCTGTTGCTGTTGCTGCTGCTGTTATTAAGTCCGTTGCTGTTACTCATGTTGTTGTATGTGTTAATAAAGTTTTTCATATTTGTGTTGGTGAGACCGGCATTTTGTTGTTGATTGTGAATGTGATGAGTATTCGCTGCGGTTACCAAATGCGGAGAATTCATTTTCGAATTTTACTGACAATTTTCGAAAATTTTCTCTTAAGCGAATTTAAGAGAGTTTAAGAGTTTGAAAAATATTGTTTTTATATATTAATTCTCTTTAATTTTTAATTTGTTTAATTATTTTCTCGTTGGTTAAAGTTTATCAGTGAATTAATTTTAAGATGTTAGGCTTATGGCGTTGAGTGCTGCAAGCATTTTTAATTGCAAAAATATTTAAATTATTTATAAAAAATTGCTGAAAAATATTAATTGCTCTCGGCTCTTTTTGTAATTATTGCACTTAATCAAGCACCTTTCGAGACAATTTTTTTCGCTTTTAATTTTGCTGCTTGCTAATTTATTTTTAACGCCCGCAAGCTCACGTCTGCAGTTTTGACCCACTTTTGGTTGTTGCATTTGGCACCTTACAAAAGATATTTCATTTTGGTTTTATTATTATAAATTTATTGGAATTTTTTTATTATTTTATGTAACAATAAAAAGTTTTATTGTTGCGGAGAAAAACATTCAAAAAAACAACAAAATTGCATTATTCATAAGCGCACGCGCTGAACTTGACTGTTTCTTGGAAGCCAGTTTCCATTTAATGCACATGCGTGGGATCGAAAAAGTATCTGAATCTCATTCACTTTGGACTCACTCGTTCTGCTTTTATTTCTACTTTTGAGCAAAATAAGTAGAAGTAATAATTTATTTTCATTACTTTTTTATATAGAATTTATGATTGACACTTTTTGGCACCATGAATATCACGATAATTTGATGACGGTGCATTTATCAGCCTGAAATTAATGAGAAGAGAACAATGTTAATAATTTATTTTAATTTTTAATTCAAAATAAAAGATGGTTTTTTATTTTTTAATATAAAGTATATGTACATAACCACAAGAAGATATATGCATATTAAATTTTCAACTAATAAAAATATTTATTGGGAGTACACACCCTTCTTACCCTTTAATACTTCTTTATTAAAAATACGTAAGATTTAAGTGCAGTTAAGCTACATTCTGTTATCAACATCTATAATAGTCTTATCGAAATCATCTGCAGGCTTGTTACTGGCATATACATAAATCTGTAATAGGGAAGATTTGCATGAACAGGGAATTCACATGAACAGAGAATTCCTTATATTAGGTGCCTGTCCTCAGTAGAACGAAACAGAGGTGGTTAGCAGGTTGTCTAATAAATCATCATGGCCAGCGTTTTCGTATTAATAATATGCGTTTGCCTGAAGAGGCACATTGCCAGTAGATAGAAACCCCTAGTCACATTCTTTGTGACTGTCCGACTATAGTCTGAGTTAAGAGGATACTGCTAGGTCGAGAGTTTCCATTTTTCATTATCAACGGTGAACGATGTAGCTTTCATTCAAAAGGCGGAGTGTCTTTGGTTCAGTTAGACTTGAAAGTAACAAAAAAATCAATCATGTTCTGGTACTCCCTTAGTTTTTTATTCTAATCTAACGAATAGTTAAAATAGTATATTTGGTATCCATAAAATTAAAACTTATTCATTATATTAACATTTCGTATATGTCATAAACAGATTCAGTATGTTGCTGTATATTTCAATAGTTGATGTCAGTGCTCTTAACAAGAGAATAGGACCTAAGCAATGGATGGAGGAAGTCCTTAATAGGATATATCAAGTGTTTTCTAGAATTGGATGTTTGTTTTTTAACAAAAATTACAAATTTTCTTGTCTTTTTAGTCAAATGTTCTCAAATTCTAAAAGTATATGTAGTCGGAAGGAGTATTACATATAAAGGTATTATTACTAGTAAATATGATATATATATATATATGTCAAAGATTTTACAAGGTGATTAATGTCATGTTTGATTTATTATTTAAAGGCATTTTAATAAACAAAATGAATTGCTTATTTATTGCATTTTTAGCTGATATGTAGAATAAATATTTTAAAAACATATATATTATTTTTTTTAAATAAATGTATGTCACCATTTACAAGTATAAATCGATATTTAAAACTATGTAAAACTAAAATAAAAACTAAATCATTAATTTAAAGTAATTTATATTTGTCATATACTTGACACTGATATTAACCCGACATAATCCTTTAGTTAACTGAACCTAGAACGAGTACTCGTATAACCTTATCCACACCTAAAATATTAATACGCACCACACGACTCAAGTGCACAAGGCAACAGAGAAAATTAACATTTTTATTTGATTTTGATAAATGATTGCAATTATTTATTAATGTCGTATCTGCTGACAGAAATTTTCAATTCATGTTTTCCACTACAAATGAAAATTTTTATCTTTCAGATACTCGTGAGCTCACAGTGTCATTTAAAGATCACAAAACATTCGTAGTATGCGGAGTTGTTAATTGAATTAAGAAACACCAAACATAGACGGTTTTAATTTATTTTGTATTTCACACAAAATAAATTATTTAAATAAATAAAAAATTAAATTCTATATTCTATATTTTTATTTATATTTAATTTATGTTTTTTGCTTTAATGAGTAATTTTAATATTTAAATAATTTTATTTTATGATTTAAAAGGTAATATAAATTATTTGCAAAATATAAGACATTAATTATGAAACAAAATTTATTGCTCACTTACTATTTTAATTTAAAAAAATGTAAATATATATGATAAATTAAAACATAAATAAAATACATTAAATAAATAAATATATATTAAAGTAAAATTTTATTTTATGATATTAAATTAATAACGAAATAAAACACTAATAAAATTGAGGTATAAATAATTGCAAAATGTTACACATTTATAATTATTTAATAAATAATTAAGAATAATTATTTAGTGTTCAAAAATATACACATTTATATAACAAATATAAAAAAATGTATGAGCAAAAATATTTTGTCAGAAGTGGGATTCGAACCCACGCCCACCTAGGTGGACTGCGACCTGAACGCAGCGCCTTAGACCACTCGGCCATCCTGACCTCTGCGTACTTGTTGACAAATGTTTAACATATCAAAAAATATTTAATGAAATATCTTATTTATTAATAATATGTTAATACATTATAAATACATTACAAAGAATACAATATTAATGACTTAAATTGCAATAATATTGCTTTAATAGCAAAAGTTTCAATTGTTTAAAAATACAAAAGTACAGTACAAATGACTTACTATATCATACTGTACGTAAAAATTAATTCAAAGCGCTGAATGAATGAAAGCAGAATCTTCATCGAAAATGAATGATCTAATTTATCTAGATAAATTGTCAGATTATAGATTTTTGTGGATAATAGTTTTTTTGAGTAAAAATATAAAAAAATTGGTTGAAAAATAATAAATAATAATTTTTTGATAAGTTTTCAAACGTTTAATAAATAATAAATCTTTTTGGATATAGTACCTTAAATATATCACTTATGGTGTCATATATATGTATTATATTAATATAAACTTATGAATAGCTAATTAATCATTAGGTTCTGCGGGCGATCCAAAGGATCCACTGAAGTCTATTGGCCTATTATGTTAACTAATCATCATATTATTTAGATTTATACACAACACATATTTGTAAAATTAATGCAAAGACTTCTGTTTCTGAATGTTTTAAATGTAACGGCGATCACGATATGGGCTATAAGACCACAGAGCAGTTCCTGTACTGTTCCTATTTTTAATTGTACTCGAATCTTAGACTTTTCAATTTTTTTTTGAATGTCAAGTTGTCTATCACATCAAGAGTTCTGCTTTATATTCATGAGATTCCTTATATGAGAAAAATGAAATTTAGTAAGTCTAGTTGATGTCACTACTCTTAAGAAGAAATTGGACATAAAAAATGAATGAAGAACGTATTCCATAGCATATATCATATCTTTTATGGATTTGCATGATTATTTTCTTTAAACAAAAAATATTTTCGGTTATTTAATTTTCTCAACTTTTTGCGTTTGTTTATTTTAATAAAAATTTCTAAAGTATCTATTGTCGTAAAAAGTATTGCAGATGAAAATATTATTAGGAGTAAATATTGTATATATTTCAAAGGTTTTACAAAGCTATTACTGTCATATTTGATTTATTATTTTAAGTTATTTTAATTAACAATTTTAATAATTTATTTATGGCATTTATAGCATTTGAGTTCAAAAAATATTTTATAAATATTTATATATATTTCTTTAAATAACTGTATATCACGATTTAAAAATCGATATTTAAAATTGTGTAGAATTGAAATAAAAACTAAATCATTAAATTAAAATCATTTAATTACTACGGCTCGTAGTTAATAAAATAAAGTAGTTCGGTAAACGTAGAGACTATATTGTAGACACTATACTATATCATATACGTGTTTATATAGTCTCAATATTATATGTGAACGCTCACATAAATAGGAATTAAGATAAGAATTAAGTTAAGCCTTAATTTTTTTATGTATTGGATGCTTGAAATAATTTAAAATAAAATTAAATTTCCCAAAAAAGAAAGAGTTTCTAATTTCTGATCGTTTATAGTTTGGAAATATCTCATATACAATTTGGGTGAAGAATATTATTAATATAAACATATACATATGTATAGAGTGAGATATTTTATACCACATATTATATATATAACTAGCAAGTGTCACGCCTTAGTACACCTCAGAGTTTTTAATTTATATATATGTAATTATAATTGAAGTTGTACTATGAGAAATTAAAAATTAAAGTTGTCACTAAGATAAAAAATCAGATACGTTAAATATATAGAATAAATTTTAAAATTATGCATGGAATAACAAAAAAGTTTGTCAGAAGTGGGATTCGAACCCACGCCCACCTAGGTGGACTGCGACCTGAACGCAGCGCCTTAGACCACTCGGCCATCCTGACCGTTCCAGCTGTTGGCACTATTGACGCATTTAAGTAAAGTCAGTTATTAATCTTTTTACAATGTAATTAATACACAAATTTTAATTATTATATATTTTTATAATATATATGATAAGAACAAATTTTTTCAGTACACTTTTATGCCAATTAAATATAAAAAATTATATCAATAAAATTAATGCAATGTGTATAAAGAAAACTAATTTCAACATAATATAATTATTTAAAATTTTCTATAAATATTGTTTAGGTTTATTATTTCAATGTGTAATTGATTAAATTAAGCAATATTTATATATTAGTTGCATTGTAATTATATTCTTAGATACAATATTTATTTAATGTAATATTATTCAATTCAATTGCGATAAATTATAAATGTTTCTTATCTCCCATATTGTCTAGTGGTTAGGATACCCGGCTCTCACCCGGGAGGCCCGGGTTCGATTCCCGGTATGGGAAAACTTTTTTATTTTTGAATTTTTTTTTTTGAACATAGTTTTTAATATAGTTTAACATTTCTTTTATTATAAACTCTTTTACAATTTTACCATATTTTAAGTATAAGTATTACCAATACTTAAAAATTTTTTATTTTATATTATTTTATACGATGCTATATCGAAGATGCATCAAGATTTCCTTGTTTAGAGTCATCAAAGATGTACATATGTGACTTGGCATTATTATGTTGAAACATAAGTACTTTTATATTGTACAATTCTTGTCGCTTTTCCGTGATTATTTCGTTCAAGCGCTCGAAATTTAAGCAATAGACCACTGAATCAATCATGTTAAATATATTCGTATTGAATCCATTATTCATAGCCCGTAATCATTCGCTTCAAAAATTGGTTTGATTTCGACACATTTCAGCAGCGTTTCAGTGATAGTAATTCAGTCTATCCTAATTCTTTGCCAGCACCAAAGTCAGATGGTCTGTCATCGAACGTCCTTGCGCAGCCTATAGCTTTTAAGTCAGTCCAAATTGTCTAGTGGTTGAAGTTAAGTGCCTCTACTATTTTCTAAAATTTTGCAACTTGTCGGAGTTGCTCCAACAGTTACAAAATTTCATCGACATAGAAGTTTCGACTCGGATATAGAAGTTTCATATATTATAATTGAACAAGTATATTTGAAATGTCGATATTCGCTGTATCGATATATTTGAAAATATAGTGGTGCTACAGTTTTAAAAGTGTCCTTTGCTTCAGTAATATATAACATATAAGAAATATGTGTATATTAAAATAATAATTGTTAAAAATAATTTTTTTAAATGTTATTTATTTATTTATAATTAATTAAAAAATATAAAATCTTATAACTAAGATAAGAAAAATGAGTGCTAGCTGCCAGGGCTTTCAGCTCAATTTTGTTTTTTAATAATATGTGAGTATTCTTTTTTCTGTAAAAAAACATTATTTAAAATAATATTCACTATTATTAAATTGAAATAAAGTAATAAACAGCTAAGAAAGTTGCAAATTCCTCTTCCTATTTAATAATTACCAAACTGTTAAGATCTTGGTAGGTATGCAAACTGAGCATAATTCAGCACTAAATAATCACCATTATAATTAATATAATTCACCACTCACAGCATTGTTGTTGCGGCTCAGTGTTGCTTCATTTTACTAATTACGTTACTACCAAAAACATAGAAAATATAAAGCCTACGTTGTTGGTTACTATGTACAGCACAGTATCTGCCTCAGCAAAGCTACATAAACAAATGTTTTTGTTTTAGTTCTTCTTATCAATTTAAACAAACTTAAACTGAGTAGAAAACGTGGAAAAAAACAACATAAAATACACAAAAAATGAATTTATATTTTTTTTTTCATTAATAAAATATCTAAACTAATGTTATAATAATTTGATTTAATAGGTCACCGCACACCACTAGCACTTCAAACAACTACCAGTAAACGTTTTCTATACACATATAGCGTATTCATACAAATATGCAAAATAGTACAAATTGCAATTTGTGTGCAATTTTTAATAATCAAAAATACATTAAAATCAAATAAAAATATACTTTTTTTGGTGCCACTGGCATAAAATCTGAAAAATCGATAGTTAATAAATGAAGAAAAGAATTTTTATGAAAATACTTCAGTGGTAATAATAATAATATTAATATTAATAAAATAAAATATGTTTATTAAATGATTTAATAATTTGCATATCAAATGTCAGAGATGACAATTGACACTTCCAAGGGAAAAATGTATTTGATAAATGCTGTTAATGTGCAAAGTTGAAGCTCAGATTTCTTTGATGAATTTTTTTCATTAAAAAAAATGCAAATAATAAAACAGCACACTTGATGCAAGCTACAAAATAAGGACATACAAACATATGTATGTTTGTAAATCTGTAAGAGAAAACAAAAAAAAACAATGGAAACTCATCAATTATTGTTGCAGTTGATAGTGGTTTGGCATGTAAACAATAACAATAACAATGTCTGCCCTTCTTTCATTGTTTTTCGATTTCTTTGCTTATTTTTATTATATTTTATTTATATATAATTGCACCATTTTGTTGATCTTGCAGTTGGTGCTGTTGTTGTTGTTGTTGTAATTGTTGTGATTGTTATTGCTTTGTTATTGTTTCTCTTTCTTTGATTAGTGTTGTTTTTTTTTCTTTCTATATTGTTTAGTTATTGTTTACCTTACAAATATGGCAACCATGCAAGGCAATGTAAAAGTTGCAGTGTACACAATAAAAACATTTGGAGCAACACAATTTAGGGCAGTGGTTCAGTGTCGAGTTGTGTTTGGTACATTTCTGGGTTAACTTTTGCAATGAAAGTAATGGATACACGTGTAATGTGCGTGTGACTTTGTGCACAATGTGCCTGATTGCACTTTTATGCGGAAAAAAATATGACGAATTATGTTTACAATAAATGAAGCAAGACATTGCAGAGTAAATTTCTGTGAATTGCAAAAAATTGCATGCAATCAAGATTTTATCAAAATTTAAATAAAATTTATTAAAAAATGACAATCACTCATTTTGACAGTTCGTGCAGTGACTTAATGTTGCAAGCATAGGAACAACTCACGTTAATAAATTTTATAAAAAATTCAGAAAAAAAACAATTCATTAGGGAATTTCAAAGAAATGCAAAAATCTAAAAATAAGAAAAATATTTCAGCTGCTTTAAATAACTTAAATATTTTGCTGCCCCTAATTACTTTTCACTTCTCTGCAGATCTTAAAATCTGTTTTCCTTTTCCTTCAAACCAAATCAAAGCAACTTTTATGTATTCTTTCTTTTCTGTTTTTGTGTTTTGCGCATAAAGCAAATATGCAAAGTATTCGCTAACATTAAAGAAGTTTGTTATTGTTTTTGTTTTTGTTTTTGTTTTTCCTGACTTCCACTAATAACAAATCACAGCACACATTCATACTATACATGCATGCATACCCAGTAGAAAATGGATCAATCCGTCATCAAAACCATCTTCAAGACATGGATATATACATAAAGACCAGTCAATTCAAATGTATGACGATCTTCGAAGACGTTTTCGAACAAATTAGCCAAATGTCTTCAAAGACATTTTGCGTACATGTCTCGAAGACAGCATCGAACACCAATTTTTCTACTGGGTACTTGTATGAAGAAAAAGTTTTGCGGAAAATTACACATATAGTACACAAACACAAGTGTTTGTTTGTAGTGTAGAAAAATCAAAAAGATCAAAGAGTAGCGAGTAGTGAATTTACTAGTTTACAATGAGTTTAGGTACCAGCGCTGTTATAGTACTATCCTATAACAGCTAAGCTTGGCACTTGTTCAAATGCTAAGGTCGACGTCGGTTGACTAGTGTTACTTTAAAGGCGTCCGTCTGACGTGTGTGGGAGTTTGTTAGTTACACTTGAAAAGCTGCACCGCACAACAAACAATCAATTTAACTGTGCAAAACGTACGTAGAGTGTAGCGTTAGGCAAAAGATATTACTGCCTTCATATTTAAGTTAAATTTTCTGGTTGATATTTTTTAGTTAAAATGTTAAATAGCAATTACGAGTATCAGCAACGTCGAATATGACTTAATCTATGCATCGGTGCGTTTCAAATGGAATAATTTGCACTTCGAACAATTGTCGGCGGTTTTAGTTCCAATTTGTTAAACTTTATTATGAGGATTATTTATGTAAATTTCACTAAATATAAAAAATTTGCGGAAATATGCGTTATGAATAGGGGAAATAAAATTATTATCAACATTTACTCTGTTTGTAAATGTAAATTGTTGCCTTTATTTATAATATTTTGTAAATAATTAAAACTTAGGGCTAATTTTAAATTAACATAAAATTTAACTACTTTTTTGCACTTGCTAATTGCATTATGTTTAGTGTTTAAGACTTGATTAATAATTGTCAATTTCCAATCAGAAAGAAAATTTTACAATGTATACTTAAGTGTAGATTTCATATTAAATTGACATTTCCTTGTATTAAGTGACTTTTTACTTAAGTTATACTTAAATTTTAAGTTAAGTGTTACTTAACATAAGTGTGCAATATTAAATTGGTCCTTAATAATTTTGTAATTAACTATTTAACTTTTGTTGAAGTTTGATAAGTTCTCTAGCATGTTTACGAATTTATCCATTGCCACTTTTCCAAAATATGTGAAAAATGATCATTTTTAACAACTAATATATCTGAAATATTATAAGATAACTTTTTTAAAAATATAAACAACAATTTAAACAATAACTTAGTAAGTGTTATACTAAGTTAAACTTAGTAAGTGCAAAGCAAGGATCAAGGACCACAACTTCAGTAGCTCAGAACCTAGAATTCTATTGGGTTACAACATGATGACAGCCTATGTCATCTTAATAGATGGGGAGAGTTGAGCATTTGTAGACAGCCCAAACTCATGTTGCCGAAACCGTGGGTCAGGGCAGCGATAAAAGTGCTTAGCTATCAGCGGAGTACTCTAAACTGGCTGACCTCATTAATTAC